TTAAGGGAAGACAATGATTAATCACAGATATCAATGATCGATCATGAACTATCGGTATCGATTTCAATCTTCTAAGATCGATCATATTCTTTAAAGTTGTAATTTAACCTTAAAAAATTATAATTTACAGTACGATACCGTCGATGATACCGTAAACTTTCGTGTTAGTTTTGTTTCTCTTTTTTTGGAACAATTGGTATGATGGGATTTGTGTGACGTCATTGTCATATGTATGCAATGATGTAATTAAGATTAAATGATTTCGGAGAAGCCAATATGAATAAGTGTGAGAGGTTATCCTAAAGTGCTACATAATTCACTTAGTTTAACACTTCAATACAAAAACTAACAAGTCAATGCATATAACGTAAGGATAAACACAACTAATTTGGAACCATTCAAACCTTACAAGCAAGAAGAGATAGAAGCTAATGTGGTGGTAATTATTAACCTATCAATACTAATTAATATCCTAAATTGACCAACAAATGGGAGATAATAATGTGACGTTGATAGAGCGATATTGATTGTAATATGACAATGTTTACTAGGTAATACTTTGATTTGACGTTTGATTTTTTGAACTAAAATTTTAAAACTCGATCGTTTTAATATTCAAGAAAATAAAACTTTACATATTTATTTTCATTCTTTTCAAAAATTTGTTAATTGATTGGTCAATATCTTCTTTAGCGCAACACCACATTATTTGGTACTATCAAATGATTAAGAAATCGTATTAAACTGTAAAAAGAGATGTGCGGGGGTAAGGTTGTTTACTACTACTCATTTCTCTAACAACCATTTTTGATTTAATTGATCAAAAGGCCAGTTTAGCCACCAACTCAACCTCTACCTACCATTAATCCTCCTAGTCCATGGTCCCAAGAGAGATTTTTTTACTATGTCTTTTTCAATATATGCAGCAATTGATGAGTATAGTCTGATATCGTTTTGCAATACCACAATAAATGTTTTTTAGTGTGCTCCAATGATCTGTACTGTGACTTTAAACCCAGGATCATGTTGCTTATGAATTGAAGGATTCTTCTGCCCTACATTATCCTCAGGACGGAGGGAGAGAAAGGAGGGAGGGCATTTGACCATTTTATGCAAGGGTATCTCTTGTCACTGTCTCCAACAACCAACCATGGACCTTATCCATTAGGGTACCAAAACGTAATATATTATTCATTTTCTAGAAGGGCATCTCTTTTCGTTATACCAGCCCCTTGAGGACTTGACCATGTACTATGAATATCCCATTCAAAGCCAACAAAGCCACAAAGTAGATAGAGCTGAGTTTCTATATGATTATCCAGAGTATTAGGTGACAGTACTTTGGGAAAATTCAGGAATTGGTATCACGTTAAGTAACAAAGAAGTTGGATCCATCGAAGAATATTTCAAAGCATCCAATTTTTTTTTTTTTTATGAACACATACAAAAGGATATATTTATATCTTTTGAAGATAGTTTATTTATAAGTGGCAATCATGTCGTGTCAGATTGGATCATATTCGGATCATGTCATTTTAGTTTCGTATCGAACACTAGTCAATCCTAACCCAACCCGTTTAATTAATAGTGTTGTATTGTGTCGACCTATTTATTTTGTTGTGTTGACCCATATAACTTGTGAATAAAAAATTTAATACTCAGTTTTATGTCCAAAATTTTATTATCACTTAATTGAATCTATGCTCATATTTTTTTTAGAAACTTAAAATTAATTTAATAAATATAATAATAAAATTGAGTAAAAAACATTTTCTTTAACACAAGAATTAGGTCATTGATAAAATATAATAAAAAATTAGTATTTTATCCTCATAATACTACATAAATGTGTTACTCGTGTTAATTTTGTGTTTGATATTAACCCAACTTATTTGTTATTTATGTTAACGGGTTAGTGTCAAGAAATGACCAATCCTAACTTGTTAATTTGGTGTCGATTTTGAGTTGTGTTGTGCCAAAAATTGTCATTTCTAATTTTATTTAAGACCAATAAGCCCAAGTCTAAACAGTATTTCCAAAATGGTCCAACATTTAGAAGAGTGAACGAGAACTTATCAATAAAACTGCACTTTTTATCACAATTGATATAAGATTTTAGTTCTAAACATCCACTTTATAAAAAACTGGTCTTAATTTTCTGGGTACTGGCTACAAAAAGAAATCAAACACCTTGATGCATTCTGGGGAAAATCCAAGCTGCATTACTGAAAAATTGTACGCCGGAACCAAATATTTGCATATAACACTAGTTTAAAGTCATTAGAGAGCGGGACTTAGCGCAACAACAATAGAATTCATTCATTATGACTTGGATCAGATTAGAGTCACATACAAAAATAAGATTATATATATTTGACCATACACAAAACCAACAGGAATGGAGCCTGGAGGCTGCCTTTCTTTTTTACTTGTTTAAGGTCATTATGGGGCGGTCTCAATTCAACTCAACTTAATAAAGCCATCTTAACTATTTTAAGGTTGGTTATACGAATCTTGTTTTTCCATTGTGCTCTATGAAATGTCGAATTTTTCGTATTATGGAGCAGCCCAACCTCCAAAAAATAGCAGCAATGTGTTGCTCCATGGAATTGTGATTTGGTTTTCTAATCATTGGATTTTTGCTAATCACCTACTTGATTATCACATGAGCCTTTTAAAGACCAAAACATCATATAAAGTTGTTATGGCCTTACGATATTACTAAAGATAGAGATTGGGCTTTCTAGGCCTCTACCTGGGACAAGAATAATAAGAAGAGGGACTACAAAAAAAAAAAAAAAAAAGGGCCGGGCCATCTCCAACTCAATGAACAAACGTATTAAGACAAAGACTGTCGAATTCTTTTGCAATGGGCTCTGCCGAACACCGGAACTGGCTGACTTTATAAAATCCAAACCTTTTTTTGAATCTGCACTTGCTGTGAAATAGTTTCATATGTGTAATTCCATTTGAGAAGAAAAAAAAATAAAATAATAAAAATTTAATACGAAAAAACTGACTTGTTTCACTCTCTTTAAAGAGGGCGCAACAAAATTCAAATCCAATACAGCAGACCTTCTCACATGACTTGTTCCATCCAGTATACAATAATCTAACAGTTTTGTCGTGTATGATGTTAACTAATTCTGTCTAAGTGATTAAAGTTCAAAGCTCCGCCATAGAAACATCTTTCTTTGATCTAAACTCCCAAGTGTGTATAGTATGTAATAAAGTGTTGCAATGTGTTAGATGATGTTCTATTAGTACTTACAATGCCCATCTTAGAGGTCTTATTTATAGACTATTGAAACTTTCTAGAAATCATGTATATAACTTATTCATATGTACAAAATCTACATATATCTAACAAGAATGATTCATGTATGAAAAGTGATGAATACAGGTATAAGATAGTATTTATGTACATGTATGTGATAATATGATACATGTATATGTACGATACATTGTATATATAGATTCATGTATATATATTAAATATTAATACAATAAATTATATATAATATTAAAATTTACCAACATTTACCATACCAATGAAGCAGAAACATTTTATTTCAGGATAGTGGTAGTTTTAACCTCAGTTACAGAAAAAGGATATTTCATCACAAACAGACCGGCTCAGTCACACACAGACAGAAAAAATAAATGTTTCAAATGTTCACATATGACAGATATGGCTCCCTTATTCATATCACAGAGGATTTAACTAAGCTTCACCAGAATGAATGGCAACATAGAGACCTTCTTCTCCTTCCACCCCAACCTCCTCATGGCTCTTTCTACATTCATGGTAGAAGACTGTGAACACCACAAACATGGAGATTTTCGCCAGGCAAAGTGCCCAGACACCACTGATCTGGATGGCCAACCTCACCCAACCTTGTTTCTCTCTCTTCCTCATCAGGACTAGAGAAATTATAGAGACAGTGCCACTAGCAAGAAGAAAAATCAGCATCAGAACAGAACCCTTGAGGGTTTTTCCTTTCATCAGTTCTCTAGCTCTGTGAATGGCTTTTAGTCCACCCGAATCGGCTTCCACAATGGAAACCACTACACAGAACATGAAAACGGCAGCCAAATAAATATAACAGGCTACCTCGAAAATGGCCACGACACGATTCAGAAGAATCAGTGAAAACACATAAGAAATCACTGAAAATACTCCGACAAGGATTGAGAAAAGAGTTATCATGGAAAAACTTAATAAAGTCGCGTAAAAGCTAGTGATTATTGGCCTTGTCCACCTTCCTCTAATCATTAGAAACGTATCTTTCAGTGTTAGAACTTTTGCGGTGTAGGCTTCATAGGTGGAGGAAATTGTAGCAACTGAGGAAAAAACTAAAATGGAACAAGAAAAGACCAATATTACTGATTGCAGTAACAGTAAAAGGACGACATCTTTGATAATTCCTCTGTTTAAGGTTTCATCAGTCTCAATGATACCGCGTGTCATGTGATCCAGACTTGTCAACTTAGAAGATAAATCTGTAAGTATGGGTGTCAAAGCTAGGTGGCGAACAATTGTCAACAGAGAGAAAGAAATGGAAACATAGATCATGATTGAGACCAAAAGCTTCCCATTTCTAGTACCTATTCTGAGGGCTGCCCAGAGAATTCCCAGGGTGCCTAAGGAAGCTTGTGGTTCTTTGGTGATGAATTTTTCTTGAAGGACTTGTTTCTCCATTTGATTTTTTTTGGGGGGGTTGAGATGTTCATAGGAAAATGAATTTATAATGCAGTTAGTTTTGGCCAAACTTGTTTGTCAGTTTCCAATTGATCCACCCTATGTATTCATAATAAAACCGATCGAGGCTGATTATTTCTAAGCTGGATGGGACAAATAAGTTAGTGTCAGCTTTAGCTGTTAAGAGTTATATGGGTAATGATTGGAGTAATGAAAAGGAACTAAGATAAAGATGTATTTCATTTAGAGTAATGTTGTTCAATCTTAAAAATTTGATCTCATTTAGAGATATGAAAAAATGAGGATTCCGAGAGGAAACAAACAAACTGGGTTGATTACTCTTGATAGTCTTAAGATTTTGACATCAAGGAGTCAAAGATCAATTCTTTCCAAGGGTAAATTACACTATTAATCCATGAGGTTTGCCATTTGTAGAATTTTGGTCCGTAAAGTTCTAATTTAACCAATTTGGTCCCCAACCTTTACATATTTGACCAATTTCATCCCTAGTCCTAACTTTCGTCTCAATGGCCAACAGAAAACAACATGTGAGGGTCGCGTGAGGGGGCATTATAGCCATTTTGCCTATTTTCTCGCCTTTTTCACATCTCATGTAGCCTGTGATTTGCACATAGATATGTCATTATAAGAACACACATTTTTCAATTTATGTATCACCAATCTAACCTTATTCTTCAACATTTGACAACTAATGTCAAGAAAACTTTGTATAAGTAGGGAACCATTGAAAGATTGAAGCTTTGTATAAACACTACTCATATTCTATTATGGGGCCCAAGAAACCAACGATATGATATAATGTATGGTGCAAATACATTTGACATGAGAAATTTGGATTATGACTTGGGCAGCATAATATTTTTGTAAATCTTCTGCTTTAATAAAGCTTTTGATAGACTTGCCAGTGGGCTCCCTCCATTTGTTTGCAGCAAGATGACACTTTTTTTTTGGTTCCAAGAGCACTTGTTTAAGAGCCTACACATTGGAGTCTATTCTTTTTGTTTTCACGAGGTAAGAGAGTGGCTCAGTGATAAGGTTCATTCTCGCCCCGGAGGCGACTGTGGATTCCAACCTCATTTTCTTTCCCCTCCTTATTTATTTTTTTGTTTTTACTCCTTAGAAGATACATCTACATTCTTTTCCATAGTTAGAAAAAATAAAATTGAAGGAAAAATTTTAGTTACGTTCCTTCTAATTTATCATATCTTCAAGAATATTCTTTATATTTTCTAAATCTTCACTGTCACCCATTGTCAGATAAAATGTGTTAATTAGAATACAATTTTATTAAATTACCCATGATATGTTTTAGAAAAAACTTTATTCACACCCCCTTTAGATAGACATACCTTCAATGAGACCTTTTCTAATTTTTAATTTTTTCTAATGTTACGTGCGTACAAAATTTAGGGGGTCTGTATATAATATTTTAAATATCAAAGGTTTAAGTGATTAAATAACAAACTTTAAGAAGTCGGAGTGTAATTCTCCCAAAAAGAAATACAAAAACCACCAGTTGTACCCACGTTTTCATTGAGACTACACTATTGCACAAAAAACGTCAATTAGTCTGACATTTTTAGTTAAAACGTCGTTCCAACTGACGTTTTTAAAATTAATTGGGTTTGAGAAATATTTTTAAAATAACCCTCTTTTGGGTATTTTTTTTTTAAAACCCATGTGTTGGGGTAAAAGCTCTAGAATATTCCAACCTCGTTTTCTTCTCCCCCAATTTTTTTTCCTTTTTATTCCTTACAGGATACATCTGCATACTTTTCCATGGTTATGAAAAAAGTCCCAACAATGGATTAGTTGACAGAATTGACAACAAAACATCGGGATTTCCGACCAAAGTCCCCGTCAACACTATGGTTTTATCTAGATTCAAGCCAGTGATTGTATATCCCAATTCCCATGAAAAATGAATCAATTCTGCATCGGCAGTTGTTAAGGGGCTTCTTCTTTGTTGTTTTCCTCCTGTAATCTCTATTTTTTTTACGTCTTGAACATTGTGTTCTTCAGTTCATACAACTAAGATGATACAATTGACTTATTTGTCTCATCCATCTTAGAAATTATCAACCACTGTGTTTTGTTATTAATTCCTAGAATTGATCCATTGAAAAGTGACAAACATATTTGGCCAAAATAAACACCTATATAAGTTCATTTTTTTGTATTGAGCTAAGCAATTGAGAGAATTTCAAAAGCTCGAACAGCCATGGAATTCTACGAGGTTTTCAGTTTTGTGGGAATTCTGAGGGAATCCATCACACTGCTATCTAAAAATGGGAAGCTTAAGGCCTTCGTAACCACACTCTCCCTCCTCCTTTACACACTTTTCTTCTTCTTGAACATCTTCTCCGTCAAACCCTTGATCTTTGATTTGGTTGAGGTAGTGTCTGGTGGCTCTGATTTGATCACGCTGATGGCTCATGTCAAAGATGATCTCGGAATCCTCCTAGTAGTCGAATATATTTTCATTTGTGCTACCTTAGCTCTTGCACTATATACTACAACCGCAACCATTTTCATATCAGCCACCTCTTACTGCAGCACGACCATGTCAATCAAGGATTTGGTCTTGAAGGTGGCAAGATCATGGAAAAGGCCATTCATCACTGGTTTTTACACTACCCTTCTTGGAATAGGATACATTTCAGTTTTAATGGTCACAACGCCAACAATATTGATGATTTCTGATAATCTAATCGCCTCTAAAGCAATTGTAATCATCTTTGCAATTTTGGGTGCAATTCTCTCTCTCCCATTAACCGCGATTTGTGTATTAGCCTTGGTGATTTCGGTGATGGAAGAGGACTGTTATGGAATTGAGGCACTAGGAAAAGCTGGAAAGCTTGTTAAGGGCAATAGGGTGCAGTGCTTTATTCTGAGTCTTTTATTTATGGTGGCGGCATTGATTTTGTACCAGTGTTTCAGGGTAGTGAAAAATGATGAACTGCTTGGGACTTCAACAATACTTATCGGGTTGTTTCGGATATATTCTCTATATTTGGTGAACATGTTCCAATTCATGACATATACTGTGGTATACTTCCGGTGTAAGAAGAACCATGGTGAAGAGATGGAATTGCAGTGGAGCACTGCCCCCGACTACATGATGATAAAAACTACACTACTTGATAATAAGGATACACCATGAAAAAAGGGACTAATATTTTATTTTTTCGGTTTAATAAACTATCGTACCTAATTTGACCCAAATGTAATCTCTTTCATAATGTACTAACTAGCGTCCACTCCATGTAATGCACGAGATTTACATATATATAAGAAATGGTGGAGCAAAAGTTTCTCAGCCATCACTAATAAATTATTTGCTTTCCGTTTGTATGGTAATTTCCGCTTGTAAGGTTTCTCGGCCATCTCCAATAAATTATTCACTTATTAAAATAGTTTGAATTTTTGTATTTGTTTGCTTTTTCATTTTTCCTGCAAAATGGTTGTATTCAGAACACAATAACTCACTAACATCGTCCATCTGAAATAATTATATCCAGTTTACAATGACTTACTAACATCAACCATTTGAAACAATGTTTAGATTGTAGAATGAAGTTTTGAATAGAGGTATATAAGTGCATAGAGCACATGAAAAAAAAATTAGATTTTTTTTTTTTTTTTGTTTTATAATGTTTCTTTTTCCATTTTTGAGTTTGCTCTCTTCCGATAAATTTAACTTCTATAATTGTATAATACTGAAATGTTAAGAGGTATAATGAAATTAGTACTTAAATATGTCTTTATTTTTGACAAAATTTTTTTTTACTTTACCCTAAAAAAATTGTTACTAAATGGTACATTACTTTCAAAAGGTTTGACTCTGGTGTCAAAGAAAAGGACTTATGATGGAACCAAATGACCAACTCTATGTACTGAGGCCCGAAGGATACCATTCTGCTAATCCACATGCAATTTCGATTACATTTTCTAGCAAGGATAATGTATGCCCAAAATTCTGATTTACAATTTATTTTTTTTTTGGTTTTTCTTCTTGTACATAAAAGACAATAGGATGAACTAGCCAAAATAAATGCAAGGTAACCGTCGTGAGTTGGTATCATACTTGTTAGAAATAATAAAGGGTTACTAGTATTTTTGGTCCTTACAATATGCATATTTTGTTAGTTTAGTCTTTATTATATCAATTTTGTCAATTTGATTCATAAAACATTCAATTCGTGTCATTTTGATCTCTACTTAGATAGACCGTTAAATTTTTGACAAAATAATTACGTATTAGCCAAATGATATTGTCTAATAAAATGATATGTGACCACTTTCGTAAAAAAATTAATGAATTTTGTAAAGAGAACATAACTACAAGGGGATAATGTGCATGCATAGTTTTAAACGTCAAATAAGTAAAATGTTTCTAACCAAAACCACAAGGAGGTAAAAAATAATTAATCTTAGTTTAAATTACTTAACGAAATTGAGATTTGGATAATTTTATGTTTACCAAATTTGTGCACCAAATCAATTGCAGCCGTAGGATCCATGATAGAACCCACTAATCCCACGGTTCCTAGTGATTTAGTGCACATAGCATTGCACTTGAGATTTTGGTAGACTTGCCACCCTCCAATTTTTCAAACAAGGTGATACATTTTTTTTTGGGTTCATCATTAATGGATTTGTCAATAGAGTCGACAAAAACATTGGAACTTCCGACCCTAAGTTCCCCATCAACACTGCATTTTTGTCTAGATTCAATGCTGTGTTGTAGATCCCATAAAACATGAATCAATTCTGCATCATCAATTGCTAACCGGCTTCTTCTTTGTTTTTTTCTCTCTAGGGGTCATGTACATACTGTTCCCATGTACAGATAGGAAGAATGAGAAAAATATGAAGTGGAAAATGAGAATAGAGATAAATGTAAGTAGTTAAATGTGATTAGAGAAAAAATTCTAGGTGATCAAATGGTAAAAACACATAAAATATTAATTTACCAATACATTTGTAATTAACTCTTTATAACTACCAATAAAGGGAGAAAACATTACACTGTTGATCTCCTATTATTAATAGTATAGATAATCTTCGTTTTTTATGTCCCAAACAAGCAATTAAGCTACTATGTGCTCCAACTCTTAAACAGCTAGCTGATAGAACTTATGTCTTATACAGCTTAGAAATTATCGACCTGTGTTTGACTGTTACTACCTAAGATTGATCAATTGAAAAGTGACAAACATACTTGGCCAAAACTAACTGCTATATAAGTCAGGGTTCTAAAAATCGGTCATTACGATGCGTAACGGTTGTTGCATAACAGTAATGCGGAACTCTAATTCTATTACACCTTAGTATAGTAGATAGAATAAATTTTACAAGTGTCAAACAGAGTAAAAATTTGTAGGTTGTGGGGCCCTTTTTGCACAAATTTTATAGCTAATATGTTTTATTGGCATTGCAAAATATTTTTATTTTATCCCAATGATTTAAATCTAACAGTTATTTTGACTACTTCATTTTTTGAATACAATTTTCAAATAAACAGATATTAATTGCTTAGACTAATTTTCTTTCATTTGCCAAAAATTTGGATTAATTAAGTAATTTAGCATACCAAAATCATGAATATAATAAAAAATTATTATAAATTACAAAACAATTGAATTTTTTTATTTTGGTCTAAATATATAAAAAATTTTGATTTTTGCAGATAGTGGTGAATGTACTGTCAAATTTCATGACTCTGATTTTTGTTACTGCTACGTAATACCCGGTACACTATTATCAATACCATTACATAATCTGTTACCGTTATTGAGAATCATGATATAAGCTAATGTTGTCATAAACACATCAAACCAAAAAACAAATCAAATGGAGAAATTAACCACCAAAAAAGCACAGGCTTCCTTGGGCACCCTGGGAATTCTCTGGGCAGCCCTCAGAACCAGTGCTAGAAATGGGAAGCTTTTGGTCTCAATCATGGTCTATGTTTCCATTTCTTTCTCTGTATTGGCATTTTTTGGCCATCTTGCATTGACACCCATAGTTACAGATTTATCTTCTAAGTTGGCAATTCTGGAGACGAACCGTAGTATCGATGACGCTGAAAAAACCTTAAAAAGAGGAATTATTGAACATGCCCACCTTTTCCTGTTGTTGGAATCACTCATATTGGTCTTCTCTTGTACCATTTTAGTGATTTCCTCGGTTGCTACAATTTCCTCATCTTATGAAGCCTACACTGCAAAAGTTCTAACACTTGAAGACATGTTTCTAAAGATTGGAAGAAGATGGACAAGGCCAGTAATCACTAGCTTTTACGCAACTTTAATCAGTTTGTCGATCATAATTCTTTTCTTGATCTTTATTGGGGTATTTTCAGCAATCACGAATGGTTTTTTATTGATTCTTCTTAATATTGTGGTGGCAATTTTAGGGGCAGTTTGTGATGTTTATGTGGCTGCTGTTTTTTTATTGAGTGTAGTGGTTTCGATTGTGGAGAACGATTCGGGTGGCCTAAAAGCCATTGACAGAGCTACAGAGATCATGAAAGGGAAAAAGCTTCAGGGTTGTGTACTGATGCTTCTTTTTGTTTTTGCTAGTGGCACAGTCTATGTAATTTCTTTGGTCCAGATGGGAAAGAGATAAAGTAGATTGGATGAGGCTGGCCATCAGGGTCACCAGGATTTGGGCACTTTGCCTGGCGAAAATCTCCATGTTTGTGGTGTTCACAGTCTTCTACCATGAATGCAGAAAGAGCCATGAGAAGGTAGGGGATGAAGGAGAACAAGGTCTCTATGTTGCCATTCATTCAGGTGAAGCTTAGTTAAGTCCTATGTGATATGAATAAGGGTAGCCATATGATATCACCCATTTGTGAGAATTTGTAACATTGGTTTCTTCTCCTGTATGTGTATGAATCAGCCTGTCTGTTAGTTAGGAAAAATCTTTTTTCTATACTTGCTGCATTCTTGTTAAACTGCAGTTAGATTCGAATCGGAGTTTGATCGATTCTAATTTGAACTTGATATGAAAACTTGAATCTGAATCTCATTCATGAATCCACTATGAATTGAAGGTCTGATTCGAAATACTGGTTTAATTGGAATAAATCAACTAAAATTTAGCAAATTACATATATATGTATCAATTTCAACTTAATTTCGTCAATTATCATTGAATTTTTGCACATGTATAATTTGGATCGGGTCACAATAGAATTGAATATTAAATATCTAAAGCCAAAACTAAATACATGAAATATGATATAATATAATTGGATTTAGTTAATCAGTCAAAAATAACAATCCATACACTCCATAAATTGAATCGGAATGTGATGCCCCTTTGGCCTATTCCTAAACTTGTTTAGCAAAAATGATGAGTAAATTCTTGCCGATTTGAAACCATTCTCAGTTTGCAGGCTCACCAGTTTTACATTTTATCGTTATGTTTTTCAATAAATTTTATATGCTGCTTAATGCTTTTTAACTAATTTTTTAAATAAATGTGTATTGGTGATAGGCTAACTAATAAAAGGTGGATCTCATACACATTAATAGTAGATAAGTAAAAGTATAATGGAGAAGATCTAGATTTGTGCCTACAGACTGTTCATGATTTAAATCTTTGGTTATAATTAAGTCATAAAGGCTAGACTCAGTCTAAGCTAATTAACAAAGGTACATGCCATGTTTAACCCTTGCCTCTCGTCTATTTATTCACACATTTTGAGGAGAAACTCATATCTACTTCAGTGTTTCTGGTCATTCTTTGCAAGTGAAGTTTGGAATTCTAAAAGAAATTAATGTGGTCAAGAAGAATTGTAACCCAGGCCTTCAATAGTCAACCTAGAGTAGGTGAGTTGGTTCCATCATAGCCAACACCCCCCCCCCCCTCCCCCAACCAACCAAAAGGTTGTCCGATCCATACACTTGCCTTTAGTCTGTACAATTTTAAAATTGTTTCATGTAACAAATGTTAGTATTTCATTGAGCAATGGTTGTACCAAGTGGGAGAAAAACATGTAAGAGTTAAAACACACAACAAACACACTCAGAATGAAACAGGTGAAGAAAGTGCAACACAAATGGATAACAAAATATGTGGTTACATATATCCAACATGTTCACATACTATCGTAGTGTAAAAGAAAATTAAAAACGCAAACAGTGCAGTATATAAGACACCCGCCATCCGAAAAGTTGAAGAGAGTCCAAGCAATCTTATCCCACTTACGAAGACATCATTCTTTGTTCTTCAGGGCGTATCATTATCAAGTGGTACAGCAGATATCTTACTGTACTCAGTGCACCACTGCATTTCAATCTCTTCACCATGGCTCTTCTTACAGTGGAAGTATAGCACAGTGAATGCTATGAACTCTAACATGTACACCAGATGAAGGGAATGCATTCGAAACAACCCGACCAGTATCATTTGGGTTGAGAGTAGTTGCTCATTTTCCCCATACTTAAACACAGATATAAAATCCATGAAAACGCCAGAAAGAGAAAATTCAGAATAAAACACTGCACCCTCTGGCCGTTAACAAGCTTTCCAGCTTTTCCTAGTGCCTCAATCCCATAACAGTTCTCTTCGATCACCGAAATTACTAAGGCTAATATGATAATCGTGGTTAAGGGGAGGAGAGATTGAACCCAAAATTCCAAAGACGA